ATCCAAACATGGCTACTACCATGTCCCCTCTTAACCTTCTTTTTCCCAAGCTCACTAAGTATTGCAGAGAATGGTTTCCAGACCTTTAGCAACCTGAGTTGTTTCCATTAGACGTGTCCCAGCTTGTCAACACCCACAGTACGCATCAACACTGCACCACTTGAACTGCCACAACTCAATACTATAGAATCCTGGGAGTTATAGTGTTGTGAGACACTGGGACTAAGCCTAAAGAATGATGTCAAAGGCATGCATTTAACAATTTCAAGGCACCGGGTGCCTAACCAAACTACAACTCCTAGGATTCCATTGTATGCAGCCATGGTGGTTGGAGTACAGAACTGAGTTGGAAGAGACCTCATAGGCCATCCAGTCCAACCAGGAAAATTGCACTCAACACATCCCCAGGAGAAGGCCATCCAGCCTGTTTAAAAGCCTCCAAGGGAAGAGCCTCCACCACACAAGTAGTCAGACTGCATTGATTCTATAGGGTAAATGCACTACCGGGTACAGCTACACTAGGCATGGGCAAACTTGGGCCCTCCAGGTGTTTTGGAGTTAGGAATTGTGGGAGTTGAAGTCCAAAACACCTGGTGGGCCAAAGTTTATCCAGGTCTGATCTACACTTTATAGAATTAGTGTTGTTTGACACCACTTTAAACTGCGAGGGCTTAATATCATGGAACTCTGGGAGTTGCAACTTGTTGAGACACCGGCACTCTATAACTCCCAGGATTCCATTGCATGGAGCCATGGCAGTCGGAGTACTGTCGGACTGCATTCATTCCAAATGCACTTTCGGGTGCGGGCTACACCAGGCATTGGCCAACTTGGGCCCTCCAGGTGTTTTGGACTTCAACTCCCACAATTCCTAACAGCCAGAAGACCTTCAACTACCATTGCTCAAGGCTATGAGATACTGCAGGCCTGGGACAACTTGGACCCTCCAGGCATTTTGGACCTCAACTGGCTGTTAGGAATGGTGGGAGTTGAAGTCCAAAACACCTGGATGGCCCAAGTTTGCCCAGGCCTAATCTATACTGTATAGAATTGAGGTCGTTTGACACCACTTTGAACTACGAGGGCTCAATATCATAGAATCTCCAGGTGTTTTGGACTTCCAGATGTGAGGAATTGTGAGAGTTGAAGTCCTGCTGGCTTTTAGGAATTGTGAGAGTTGAAGTCCAAAATCCCTGGAGGGCCCAAGTTTGTCCAGACCTGCTGTAGAGTGTACAGAATTAGTGTCGTTTGACACTCCTTTGAACAGCGAGGGCTCAATATCATGGATCCTCCTGTTGTTTTGTACTTCTGGCTGTTAGGAATTGTGAGAGTTGAAGTCCAAAACACCTGGAGAGCTAAAGTTTTTTCCCCCAATGGCTGGTGTACAGACACCCAGAAGTGCATTTGGGGAGTTGCAGCTTGTTGAGACCCCAGCACTCTTGTTGCAGAGAAAACATTGGTAAAACCACAAATTCTAGGATTCTATTTTACGGCGTCAAATACACACATGTGCCATAGCAGTTGAAATGTTATCAGAAGGCATTGAAATACACACATCCAGGTCAATGGACATCTCAAAGTTGTAGTTTGGCAAAGCATCAAGGAGTTTTGTGCAGAGAAGGTGAAGACGCAGAAAATATTGCAAATCCAAGGGATGGGCTCTGCTGATGTTTTGGACTTCAACTCCCACAATTCCTAACAGCCCAAGTCTAATCTGCACTGTATAGAATAAGTGTCGTTTGACACCGCTTTGAACTGTGACAGCTCAATATTAAGTAACCCTGGGAATTGCAGCTTGTTGAGACACTGGCACTCTACAACTCCCAGGATTCCATTGCATGGCACCATGGAAGTTGGTGTACTGTCGGACTGCATTCATTCTAAATGCACTTCCAGGTGCAGCTATACCAGGCATGGGTAAACTTGGGCCCTCCAGGTGTTCTGGACTTCAACTCAGACAATTCCTAACAGCCGGTAGGCTATTAGGAATTGTGGGAGTTGAAGTCCAAAACACCTGGAGGGCTCAAGTTTGCCCATACCTGAGCTACACTTTGTTTGACACCACTCGGTACTTCATCACACTAGAGAATGAATCCACTTTAGATCCAGTTTCTGCCGCCTGTAGAATTCTGGGGTTTGTAGTTTAGTGAGGATCTTAAAGGCTTCTCACTAAACTACAAACCCTGGGATTCTGAAGGAATTCTGCAACCGTATTTAAAGTGGATTCATTCTCTAGTGCAGTGGTTCTCAACCTTCCTAATGCCATGACCCCTTAATAGAGTTCCTCATGTTGTGGTGACCCCCAACCATAACATTATTTTCATTGCTACTTCATAACTGTGATTTTGCTACAGTTATGAATCGTAACATAAATATCCGATATGTAGGATGTATTTTCCTTCACAGGACCAAATTTGGTACAAACACCCGATGCACCCAAATTTGAATACTGGTGGGGTTTGGGGGGAATTGATATTGTCATTTTGGAGTGGTCCTTGCTGGGATTTATAGTTCACCTTAACTCAAAGAGAATTCTGAACTCCACCAGCGATGGAATTGAACCAAACTTGGCACACAGAACTCCCATGACCAACAGAAAATATTGGAAGGTGGGGTTGGAGGGAATTGATATTGTCATTTTGGAGTGGTCCTTGCTGGGATTTATAGCTCACCTTAACTCAAAGAGCATCCTGAACTCCACCAACGATGGAATTGAACCAAACTTGGCACACAGAACTCCCATGACCAACAGAAAACATTGGAAGGTGGGGCTGGAGGGAATTGATATTGTCATTTTGGAGTGGTCCTTGCTGGGATTTATAGCTCGCCTTAACTCAAAGAGCATCCTGAACTCCACCAACGATGGAATTGAACCAAACTTGAAACACAGAACTCCCACGACCAACAGAAAATATTGGAAGGTGGGGTTGGAGGGATTGATTTTGTCATTTGGGAGTTGTAGTTGCTGGTATTTATAGTTCACCTACAGTCAAAGAGCATTCCGAACTCCACCAATGATGGAATTGAACCAAACTTGGCAACCAGAACTCCCACGACCAACAGAAAATACTGGAAGGGTTTGGTGGGCTTGATATTGTCATTTTGGAGTTGTAGTTGCTGGGATTTATAGTTCACCTACAATCAAAGAGCATTCTGAACTCCACCAACGATGGAATTAAGCAAGTCTTGGCACATGGTTCTCCCATGACCAACAGTGATATTGTCATTTTGGAGTGGTCCTTGCTGGGATTTATAGCTCACCTTAACTCAAAGAGCATCCTGAACTCCACCAACGATGGAATTGAACCAAACTTGAAACACAGAACTCCCACGACCAACAGAAAATATTGGAAGGTGGGGTTGGAGGGAATTGATATTGTCATTTTGGAGTGGTCCTTGCTGGGATTTATAGCTCACCTTAACTCAAAGAGCATCCTGAACTCCACCAACGATGGAATTGAACCAAACTTGCAACACAGAACTCCCACGACCAACAGAAAATATTGGAAGGTGGGGTTGGAGGGAATTGATATTGTCATTTTGGAGTGGTCCTTGCTGGGATTTATAGCTCACCTTAACTCAAAGAGCATCCTGAACTCCACCAACGATGGAATTGAACCAAACTTGCAACACAGAACTCCCACGACCAACAGAAAATATTGGAAGGTGGGGTTGGAGGGAATTGATATTGTCATTTTGGAGTGGTCCTTGCTGGGATTTATAGCTCACCTTAACTCAAAGAGCATCCTGAACTCCACCAACGATGGAATTGAACCAAACTTGCAACACAGAACTCCCACGACCAACAGAAAATATTGGAAGGTGGGGTTGGAGGGAATTGATATTGTCATTTTGGAGTGGTCCTTGCTGGGATTTATAGCTCACCTTAACTCAAAGAGCATCCTGAACTCCACCAACGATGGAATTGAACCAAACTTGAAACACAGAACTCCCATGACCAACAGAAAATATTGGAAGGTGGGGTTGGAGGGAATTGATATTGTCATTTTGGAGTGGTCCTTGCTGGGATTTATAGTTCACCTTAACTCAAAGAGCATCCTGAACTCCACCAACGATGGAATTGAACCAAACTTGCAACACAGAACTCCCACGACCAACAGAAAATATTGGAAGGTGGGGTTGGAGGGAATTGATATTGTCATTTTGGAGTGGTCCTTGCTGGGATTTATAGCTCACCTTAACTCAAAGAGCATCCTGAACTCCACCAACGATGGAACTGAACCAAACTTGCAACACAGAACTCCCATGACCAACAGAAAATATTGGAAGGTGGGGTTGGAGGGAATTGATATTGTCATTTTGGAGTGGTCCTTGCTGGGATTTATAGTTCACCTTAACTCAAAGAGCATTCTGAACTCCACCAACGATTGAATTGAACCAAACTTGCAACACAGAACTCCCACGACCAACAGAAAATATTGGAAAGTGAGCATTGGCCTTGAGTTTTTGGAGTTGAAGTTCACCTACATAAAGTTGCTGGGATTTACAGTTCACCTGCAATCAAAGAGCATTCTGAACTCCACCAACGATGGAATTGAACCAAAATTGGCACACAGAACTCCCACGACCAACAGAAAATATTGGAAGGTGAGCATTGGCCTTGAGTTTTGGAGTTGTAGTTCACCTACATCCAGAGAGCACTGTGGACTCAAACAACGATGGATCTGGACCAAACTTGGCACGAATACTTAATACACCCAGGTGTGAACCCTGGTGGAATTTGGGGAAAATAGACCTTCACATTTGTAGTTTCTGGGGATTTATATAATCAGAGAATTCTGAACTCCACCAATGATGTAACTTGCAAGAGATTGCAATTACACCAGGCTTGGGCCAACTTGGGCCCTCCAAGCGTTTTGGACTACAACTCTCACAATTCCTAACAGCCGGTACGGCTGTTAGGAATTGTGGGAGTTGTAGTCCAAAACGCCTGGAGGGCCCAAGCCTGAAGTGTCCCACTTTCCTTCTTCCTGTCTCACCTTGGGCGATGGCGATGGACTCGAAGCGGTGCAGCTCCCTCAGGAGGCAGCTCCTCTCGGTGGAGTGGAGGCTGTAGATGAAATCCCGCGCCCCTTGCGCCGTGTTCAGCGCCTCCATGGGCTCCTTCTTGGGGTGAGTGCCCAGCCACCGCCGCCCAGGGAAGGAGGAGGAGGAGAAGCAGCAGCCCCACGAAGAAGGAGGAGAAGCCGCCAAAGGCTGAGGCCACAGTCTTTTGCCCAGGCAGCAGCAGCAGCTGCTACTCCGACTCCTGCGGGGATGGAGGCGCGGGGCCGAGGCGAAGAAGGAGTGGCCCATCCTCAGCAGCGCCCACCGGCCGCTCAGCCACATTTCGCCGCTGCTACCGAGGCTGCGAGGCCCTGGCACTGCTCCTCATGGAGTCTTTCTTTTGCGGGCAGAGCCTGGTTTATTTCCCTTCTCACACGGTGTGAACTTCTTCTTCCCTCTTCCTCCTTCTTCGCAAACCCGGCATCACTCCCTTTTCCCTTTCTTACATTCAGTTTCCTTCCTTCTGACTGATACAGAAAGACACAACCTCTCAGCTGGCCGGCTCCGAGCCAAATGAGCGAGCGCGCGCCTGGCAGGAGGAGGAGAACGACGTCGCTTAGTGGGCGGGGCTACGTTAGTGGGCGTGGCCTTCCCTCCTCTTTGTACGCAAGCGCAGTACAGAACTATGGAAAACCAAAACCTATGGGAACAAGACAAAAAAGGGGAACGGTTTCTTGAGTGACATGACAAATTGGCCCCGCCCAGCTCCCTTTCTTTCCACCAATAGGAACAAAGAAATTTGTATAATGTATTGTGGAAGGCTTTCATGGCCGGAATCACTGGGTTCTATATGGCCATGTTCTAGAGGCATTCTCTCCTGACGTTTCGCCTGCATCTATGGAAAGCATCCTCAGAGGTAGTGAGGTCCGTTGGAACTAGGAAAATGGGTTTATATATCTGTGGAAAGACCAGGGTGGGGCAAAGGACTCTTCTCTGCTGGAGCTAGGTGTGAATGTTTCAACTGACCACCTTGATTAGCATTTGATGGCCTGGAAGTGCCTGGGGCAATCTTTTGTTGAGAGGTGATTCGATGTCCCTGATTGTTTTTCCTCTGCTGTTTTGCTGTTTTAATTTTAGAGTTTTTTAATACTGGTAGCCAGATTTGGTTCATTTTCATTTCCTCCTTTCTGTGAACCCTGGTGGAGTTTGGGAAACCATGAAAATGAACAAAATCTGGCTACCAGTATTAAAAAACCTCTAAAAACCTCTCTAAGCCTCTAGAACAGCACAAACAACAACAGAGAGGAAACAAACAAGGACATCTAATCAACTCTCAACACAAGATTGCTCCAGGCACTGCCAGGCAATCAAATGCTAATCAAGGTGGTCAGTTGAAACATTCACACCTAGCTCCAGCAGAGAAGAGTCCTTTGTCTCACCCTGGTCATTCCACAGATATATAAACCCTTTCTCCTAGTTCCAACAGACCTCACTACCTCTGAGGATGCTTGCCATAGATGCAGGCAAAACGTCAGGAGGCGATATATAAACGCCTCTAAAACATGGCCATATAGCCCGAAAAAACCTACAACAATCCAGGAACAAAGGTATTTGTATATTTAATTTTTGTGACAGGATGCCTCGACCTGCCCCTTTCTCTCTCTCTCTCTCTCACACACACACACACAAGTTGGCCACCTCACCCGCCTCATAGGAAACCTGCTACAAAACAGGAGCTTTTTTGTTGAGTTTCAGGGCCAGAGAAGCAGATGGCGGAAACAGAAAAACGGCCTGCCCCAGGGGAGCGTGCTTGCTCCATCCATGTTCAACATTTACACAAACGACTAGCCACTGCCAGAAGGGACAGAGAGTTTCATCTATGCTGATGATCATGCCATTACTGCTCAAGCAGGGAGCTTTGAGGCGATTGAACAGAAGCTCTAGGTGCTCTTACTGCCTATTACAGGGAAAACCAGCTGATTCCTAATCTATCTAAAACACAAACATGTGCTTTTCACCTTAAGAACAGACTAGCATCCTGAGCTCTGAGGATCACCTGGGAAGGAATCCCACTGGAGCATTGCACCCAAATACCTGGGAGTACCCTGAACCGTGCTCTTACCTACAAGAAGCACTGCCTGAACATCAAGCAAAAAGTGCGTGCTAGAAACAATATCACACGAAAGCTGACTGGCACAACCTGGGGATCACAACCAGACACAGTGAAGACATCTGCCCTTGCGCTATGCTACTCTGCTGCTGAGTATGCATGCCCAGTGTGGAACACATCCCACCACACTAAAACAGTGGATGTGGCTCTTAATGAGACATGCCACATTATCACGGGGTGTCTGCGCCCTACACCACTGGAGAAATTACACTGCTTAGCCGGTATTGCACCACCTGACATCCGCCGGGAAGTAGCAGACAATAGTGAAAGGACCAAGGCAGAGACATCTCCAGCTCATCCCCTGTTTGGGTATCAGCCAGCACGTCAACGACTTAAATCTAGAAATAGTTTTCTAAGATCTACAGAGACACTCGCTGGAACACCTCAGCAAGCGAGAGTCCAAAAGTGGCAGGCTCAAACCCAGAATCTGATACCAAATGAGAGACTCCCCCTGGGCACACAGAAAACTGGGCGACTTGGAAGGCGCTGAACAGACTGCGCTCTGGCACCACGAGATGCAGAGCCAACCTTCAGAAATGGGGCCACAAAGTGGAATCCACAACATGCGAGTGTGGAGAAGAGCAAACCACTGACCACCTGCTGCAATGCACCTGAGCCCTGCCACATGCACAATGGAGGACCTTCTTGCAGCAACACCAGAGGCACTCCAAGTGGCCATATACTGGTCAAAGGACATTTAATCAACTACCAAGCTTGCAAACTTTGTTGTTTGTTAAAAAATGCAATGCAACTGTTTGGTCTGCCCCTGACACCATAAATAAATAGTGACATGACAAATTGGCCACGCCCAGCTCTCTTTCTTTCCACCAAAAGGAGCAAAGGTATTTGTATTTTTAATTTTTGTAACAGGATGCCTCGACCTGCCCCCTCCTCTTGCTCGCGCATTCAGGCGAGATTTCGCTTCATACCAATACAGAGAGAGAGAGAGAGAGAAGCGATATGTTTTCCTTTCCCTCCTCTTGCTCGCGCTTTCTCTCTGTGTGTGTGCGCATGCGCAGTAAGCCCTCGCTTCTTTTTTCCAAGGGAACGGTTTCTTTTTTTGAGGGACATGACAAATTGGCCACACCCACCTTCCTTTCCGCCAATAGGAGCGAAGGCCTTTATTTGTTTATTTACTTTTGGCCAATCCGGTTACGGGGAAGGGAGAAATCCCTCCTCCTTCACACAAAATGATCCTTCAGGCGAGATTTCGCTTCATACCAATACACAGAGAGAGAGAGAAGCGATATGTTTTCCTTTCCCTCTCCAGGGGGCGCTGGACTACAATTCCCATCATTCCCCGCCGTTTGTCTACGCTGACTAGGCTGATGGGAGTTGTAGTCCAAAAAAGTTATGTTGCCCTTTCCTGCTTTTCAAGCCGTCATGGGCAGTTAATAATGGAACCCAGCCTTCACAGATTGTTTTTATTCTCTCTGGCCTTTGTTTGAAACCCTTATGGCATTTGGATAGTTACAGATCCAGTATTAAGCAATTTTAACTCATTAGAAATAATTTTAATTGCTGTTTTTAGCATTTTTCCCCTCTCCCTCTTCTTTTCATGGTGCTGCCTTGCTTTGTTGTTGTTTTTTTGTTGTTGTTTTGCTGGCTTTGCCATGATGTTTCCTTGTTGATAATGTCTTATGGTCAGTTATGGACTCTTGATAATGGACACTTGGGTAGATATCTGCCCCAATAATTCTAAAACACATGCTTCATGTATCCAATATATGTATTTACATATAATTATCTGCTTAGGAGGTCCATTTGAAAAGTGTCTTGTCAATAGAAAGAGCAAATATGTGGTCATCTCGACAATAATGGACACTTGGGTAGATATCTGCCCCAACAATTCTAAAACACATGCTTCATGTATCATGTGTGGAACATATATATGGGAGCGAGATATATATACACATAGAGTGTGTGTATGTGTTTACGCTCCATATATAGAGAGAGAGATATACTAGCGGTTCCCTGCCACACATTGCTGTGGCCCAGTCTGGTGATCTGGAAAATAAAGTAATGAGAAAGTGTTGATTTCTAATATATGTAATTTCTTTAGGCTTGCGGGTAAACAGTATCTCTTGCTGTTTCTTTGATGTGGAGAATGTCTGGTTTGCCTACTCTGGAACATGCAACATATCATTGTCCTTCTTTAAGGGTCCCTTTCAAAACTTTGATACTGCATGTCATATATGTATATGTGTGTGTGTGTGAATGGCTGGATGGCCCTTTGTCAGGAGGGCTTTGATTATGTTTCCTTGCCCTAGTGAAAGGAGTTGGACTGGATGGCCTTAAGGCAGCATTTCTCAACCTGGGAAGTCAAGACCCGAGGGGGGGGGGGATCACCAGGGAGGTGTCAGAAAGGTCACCAAAGACCACCAGAAAACACAGAATTTTCTGTTGGTCATGGGGGTTCTGTGTGGGATGTTTGGCCCAATTCCATCGTTGGTGAGGTTCGGAATGCTCCTTGATTGTAGGTGAACTATACATCCTAGTAACTACAACTCCCAAATATCAAGGTCTATTTTCCCCAAACTCCATCTGTGTTCTCATTTGGGCATACTGAGTATTCCTGTCAAGTTTGGTCCAGATCCATCATTGTTTGAGTCCACAATGTTCTCTGGATGTGGGTGAACTACAATTCCCAAACTCAAGGTCAGTGTCCACCAAACCCTTCCAGTTTTTTCTGGTGGTCATGGGAGCCCTGTGTGCTAATTTTGGCCCAATTCTATCATTGGTGGAGTTCAGAATGCTCTTTGATTGTAGGTAAACTATAAACCCCAGCAACTACAACTCCCAAATGACAAAATCATAATTTTTTGAGTGATGGTCACTCCTTGTGTTATGAGACGTTTTGTTGCCAAATTTGGTGCGATTTCGTTCATTGGTTCTTTTGTTTTTAAGGTACTCATTATGCACAGAGCATTTTATATATATATATAGAAGATTACCACCATGTAAATCAGTGGTTCTCAGCCTGTGGCTCCCCAGGTGTTTTGGCCTACAATTCCCAGAAATCCTAGCTAGTTTACCAGCTGTTAGGATTTCTGGGAGTTGAAGGCCAAAACATCTGGAGACCCGCAGGCTAAGAACCACTGATATAAATGGAAATAGTCATTACATGCCATACAGTTTCTCAACTGACTGCATCTCACTTAACATTCCAGCTGGCAACAGTACTTCGGTGCTATATCACATCTTATGGAATGCGACCTCTTTGAGTCCATCTGGCACTCTTGAATACAAGCTGGGAGAATCTGTCATAATTGCTTGGAGGCTCTCTAACACCAAATCCGGATTGGATATTACAATGGATATTACAATCTTGGGCACCGTATCGGGATGCTCATAAACCAAAGTTTCAAAGTTGCAGCCTTCCCATGTTGCTCTAACATATACTGGCATGCCTCTTAACCCAATTGTTTTGGT